TGATGTACTTATGAACTAAGGTAAACGAAATTTTACATTTTAAATCTAATTTTAGGTAATGCATAATTTAAGTTAAGTCAATTTGAGGAAACAAATTTACAATAAGATAAAAATTTAAACCATTATTAATAAAATAAGGAAGCACATTCACAAAGGCATAGTATTCAAATTGTGTTAAAGAAATCATAATGAATATATTTTAGTTCAATTAAATTTTAATATATTGTATGAAGATCTTCAACTCTTTATTTATAAATGTCCCTCTACTTATATCATTATAAAATTACTAATGTATATAAACCCAACAACATATCATCAAATCTTAAGCACACATTTATTAAATAAATTCTACTCTGTTACACCTTTTGAGATTCCCAGAAAAAACTTCATAATAATGCAAATATATAACTCGATTATTTTGATTTTATTTTTTAACAATTTTACAATTCAAGTAATTACTTTTATAATGCTGATTTAAATAATTTGATATAGATTTACTAAAGAATCAAAAAACAAAAGGGTATTATTTTTTTTTTTCTTTAATTCTAAAAGATATTACTGCCGTTTCATTTTTAATCATTGTAGGGGCCATAAAAATTTTCTTTTGATATTAGAAGCGATTAATTGCTGTAAATTATTCTTAAAATATAAAATGATCTATCGTGAAATAAATTAAAAAATTATATAAAACTATAGATAAATAGAAAGAAAACCAGAATTATTAAAATGAAGAACAAAGAAATTTGAGGTTACAAGAAATGTGGAATAATTAGATGAAGGATGCTAAAACAACTAATAACTAAATTATTAAAGATTTTTTGATCAGTTAATTTAATTTGATTAAATACCATTATTTTAGATATTCTTACTAATTTGAAGATGAGAAAAAATCTATTGGTTAGTGTAAGAATTAATTTATTAATGATTGGATAAAGATGAATTAAAATAAAAAAACTTAGATATATTTCAAACTCACTTAAAGAATTATATCTAAAGAATACCATTTTGTTGATTATGAAAAAATATTGAATCAAGAATTATAAATTAGGTTGAATAATTTTGATCAAAATTTTAGTAGTTAAATTATAATCCGAAGTATTTCACTTTATGAAAAAGCAATTAGTTAGAAATTATATCAAAAATGATTTAGAGAATGATTTTGAAAATATTTTTAATAGATATAAGACTAGAGATTAAGTTATCTCAGAAATAAATTAAATATTTTATTTGTTTGAAAAAGTTTAAATAATTTATAATTAATCTGAGAAAGCTAAGCTGAAAAAGATTTTCGAGGAAATTTACAATTCTCAATTCATTCGTCAAAAAAAAATTAAATCTTCATTTAAGCCTAAATCTTCAACGTTTAATAAATAAAATGATTAATCTGAGAGCTCAATAGATATAGAAATAGATAAAGAAAACAATTTTGAAAGTGTTTTAAAATAATTTGAAATATTAACTTAAAAGATAGAGATATGAGACAAATCTCAGTAAAAAAATTTTAGCAATAATGACGAAAAATCGTTAAAACTAACTCTTCCAAAATCATTTTTTCTTTTAGAAGAAGAGGAATAAATAAATCCTACAAATAGTGACATGAACTTTTATATTATATTATAAAAATAGCCAGGATATAAAAATAAATTTAAAAAAGACGAAAAATTTTATAGTTACATTTGTAAAAAGAAATCTAT